AATCTCAGAAAGCAACAAGCTTAGACATGATGTAAACTTAAGTTACTCCTAAATGAGTGAGCAAGAAATTAAAACATACGTCCACACCAAAACAGGTCCACAATTATCCGTTAAAGTTTTTTCTTAGTATTCCAATAATAGAACAATCCAACTTTTGCTGACCAATATACAAACATATGTGGGATATCCATAAAATGGAATCATTTGCAATTAAGAAATGAACTACTGGTATATGTTACTACATCTGGTATATGTTACTACATGGAACAAATCTTGAAATCATACTGAGTGAGAAACCACCTACAAAGACACATATGTAGTATTCACTACATGGGAAATACTTAGACATAAGTGGTCATCTAGGTGTGGAAAAATGAGAAGATTGGAGGATGAGGGCCAAGAAGAACTGAGTTTCTTTTCAGAATGATAAAAGTTTTCTAAAATTGATTTAGTGTTGGATGCAAAATTGTGAGCATACAGAGTCACTGAATTATAAATTTTTCCTCCACATTTTATATTTTAAAAGGACAGGTTTATTAGAAAAGGAGAAAGACAAAGAAACACACCTGCATAATCACAGGTAGGTAGGAGAGCTCTGAATTATAAGCTTTTAATGAATGAATTGTAAGGTACACGAAGGACATTTTAATGAAGTGGTAATAGTGATGTATCTTTATTCACAGTTGCCAAAACTGGGACATAACAAAAATGTCCAAGGTAACTGGATAGATCAACAGTGAACATCTAGACAGTGCTAAAATGATGGGTAATGCAGCAGTCAGGAAAGACCATGGAGAAAATTTAAATGCACATTACTAAGTCAAGGTAGGCAATCTGAATGGACTATGTGCCATATGATTCCAACTACATGATATTCTGGAAATGCACAACTCTGAAGACAGGAAAGATCAGCGGGCCGCCAAGGGAAAAGAGACAATTGGATGAAGGGGAGATGACAGAGAATGTTCAGGACAGTGGAACTACTATGCTACTGCAATACTTAATAGAGATGTAGGACACTACGTAAAACCCCAGTGTAAAATGTTCCCAGAGTGCTAGTAATGGGTCAATTGTTGGTTCATTACAATCATGAACAGTCTCATTCTGGCACTGGATTTGAATGTCAAAAGGATGTGTGTGGGTGTGTATGTGTGTGGCATCTACTAAAAGTTTTTGTGTAGTTAAGCTATGCTAACTTTAGAAAAATAAGTGTTAAGAGGGCCCTCCCTGGTGGTGCAGGAGTTAAGTCTCAGTGCTATCAAGGTATTGCAGCCACTGAGGCCTGAGTTTCATGCCGGGCTGGGAGCTAATCCACAAGGCACAACAGACCTCACCTGTCTGGCACTGCTCCCCTCAGCAGTCATTTCAGTTGACCCACCTGTTCTCTCCCCACTCTGTCTCTGCTGAACCTGCTCCTCTGGCCTACTCCCCATTACTTGTGGCATAAATAAATAAAAATAAAACTTTAAAAAGAAAAATATTATGGACCTGTCCAAGAACATTTGAAGTTAGTTAATTATTCACAATTATTTTACACATTTCTTTTTGTGTTCTGAAGTTTAATCATGAACTGTCCACTTTAATCAGCCCCGCTGAATAAAGATGATTGAAAATGACAGAAACACAATACTAAAATTCACTATTTGGCATTCATAAAAAAAGTCAGCGTAAAAAGCACTGTAGATCTTTATCTGAGTTTGAATAGGCAAAAACATCCTACGGGAAAGATGGTTTGAGGACACATAGGATGTTGAGTGTCAATGTGCAAACATTCCTAGCAGTATTACAGACTTTCAAGGCAGTTGAATTGGTGAGACTCAAGCCAGGGTTTTCGAACGAACGGTAAAGAGGAGCTCAGTTTCCATCTGCGTGACAGATACAAGAAGCATATATCCTCGAAGCAAATATATGATGGAGGGTGGAACTGGAAAACTGGATGATAGTTTAGGGTAGAGAAACCTCCTGGGCTATGGAGAATAGAGGAACCTGCTGGACCTGAGTTGGGGGAGGGGCTATGGGCACAGTCTGTGGTAGCCCCGCCCCTGCTCCCAGGTTTCCTTTGTGACACTTCAGAGCTCTGTGATGTAAGCAAGGGACTAAATAAAGGCCAGTGCTAGCCTTCTCAGGCTCAGTTGCCTCAGGCAAGCGTGTGATTCACAATATGGAAATCAGTAAATGGGATGCTCTTTCATTTCTGAAATGCCATATTGATGAGTCCAGGCTGAGCTTTGGCTCAATATCCTTGGATATTGACCCTGACCTCATTTACCTATGGGCGTATTGTTTGGTCTTTCTGTTCCTGTGCTACCTGGTGGGGATTCCATCTCTATTCACTGGCTGGAAAACCACAGAGGGCAGAAAGGTAAGGAACACTGGGCAATTCCCCAGTAGAGGTTCTGTATTGCCATTTCCATGTCTGTTTCCACATTTTAAAATAAGTTTGCTTGATTCTGGGAAGTGTGGAAAGGGAAGTGTGACAAAGAATACAACTTCATGCTCCTCGGGAATAGACTAGGTAGGACTAGGCTCACGAGGTGCTCACAGACCAGCTGGGTGTGGTGGAAGTAAGCACCATGCCCCTGCCTTCCTGATCAGGACAGTGTCTGAGATCTCTGCGGGACACACAGGCCCCAACACTGGGTCATGAGTCACATTCCCTGGTAGGTGTCACTCCATCAAGTCTTCCTGAATGTTGAGCTGATCAGGAGCGCAGTCCCCTGAGCAGAGGCTGTAGCCTGGGATCTCGAGCCAAGAGACAAGCTCCCCCCAAAAGACTATAGGCTGCTGACTGAGAATAGCAATGTGCACCTCATAGACAAAATCCCCGCCTTTTTCCAGAAGGAAACCCTGAAAATATTTTAGTAATTTAGATTTTTATTTTTTTAAACTCCTTTATTTTTTCGAAGATTTATTTATTTCTACAAGCACTGGGGTTCAGGCCAGAGGCGCAGAAGGGAGAGAGAATCCACAGAGACAGAAGAGGGAGCAGAACAGGCAAAATGATGGAAATACACTGCTGAGGGGAGCCGCGGGCGAGAAAGGAGAGGTCTGCTGCACCATGTGGGAATCTCCCTGGCCGGCTGGGATCGAACTGGTGACGCAGAGGCTGGGGATTCTCACAGTGCTGTGCTCAACCCGCTGCACCACCAGGGAGGCCCTTAGCACGTTTAGAAGTTATTTTTAAAAAGGAATACGACGTTCAGTCAATGAGAACAGAGTCTTGTCTGAGTTTTCTCCACAGAGGAGGAGTGAACTGAGAATCAATCATTCATTCTTTTTGTTTTCAGTGCAGAGCCAAGAGGAGGCGGAAAGGGGGGACACTGACAGGTAAGGTTCTGCCCGTTCCACCCGCGCTCTCCGAGGCCGCCCTTCCCTCTCTTGCAGGAAGCCCCAAATCTGTGATTTCCTTTTTTTTTTCTTTAGAAGTGTTTATTTTTTTTTTCCAAATAAGCAGTCAAATATTTTGTGTAATCCTGCTTTTACTTGTCATGTTTATTTATCCTTTCAAAATTTTTGTTAATAATAAATTTTATTTTTATATTCCCCATACAATTGCAACCCCCTTATTTTGACCCCAATCCCTCCCCTCCCGCTCCCTACCCCCATAGAGTGTCTCTGGTTCATAGTTTTTTGTTGATTTTCGCTTTCTTATCGTTATTCCTTTTCCTGGTCCCTGATATTTTTTGTTTCGATAATAAAAGGGATGGTTTTTTTAATTTCTTCTTCTTCAGATTTATTGTTTGTGTATAGGAAGGCTACTGACTTTTGCGTGTTGATTTTGTATCCTGCCACTTTACTGAACTGACTGATGAGTTGAATTAGTTTTTCTGTGGAGTTTTTGGGGTTCTCTATGTATATTATCATATCATCTGCTAATAGTGATAGTTTGACTTCTTCTTTCCCTACCAAATCTGTGATTTCTGCGGATAGTAGTCTCTCTCAGAAACAGGCCCTCGAGGAGCGGCTGATGGGATGGGGTATGTCAGGTACCCTGCTCTGCCGCCCCCGGGACAGGAAGCAGTGAGGGGCCGGGGTAATGGCCGTTGCCTGACAGGCCCATGGGGTATACTGAGAGTCAGAGCTTCAGTGGCCTGACTTTCTAAAAGTTCTCTGACTTCATGGATGATCCATTCCGTTTTGAGGGAACCACCGACCTGCATTCCTTCCAGGGTGGTTTAGGGCATCACAGGAGATCATGTGCATCAAAGTCTTTTAGTCGTGAAGCAACACACACACACACACACACACACGACCCTGCTTGATAGTATCACTGCCATCTGTCTTCCTCTAGTGATTGTTGAGCATTTCAGTGCCAGATAGCCCCAAGGTGGCTCCTAAGGGACTCCTGCATTAGACCTATGCTTCTATTTTCAGCACATAGGACATCTTCTTCTTGTTTCCCAGGTTGGAGCTATTGCCAGAGTGACACAGAAGAGAAGAGGAAGCTGACTGCTATTGTGGAAAGGTGACTTGTCCTTGCCCTGACCTCACTGTAGCATGACCTAGGGATTTAGTGTTACCCGCTGTAGTCATGGGAGGGGATAGTCGTGGGAGGGGTAGCCACGGGAAGGAGGGTATTGTGAGGTCACAGAGCGGGGCAATGTGAAGAAGCAGAGTTAGATGTCCCATCCCAGCCAGGCCAACGGGTCATCCTTTCATGGTTCTGGCCCTGGCTGCAATTTGAACACCCCCTGTCTCCTGCAGTCCCCTGGGCCGGAAACATGCTACCACCCGCTTTCGCCAACTATTGTGTCCAGACCCCTTCTGTGAAGTGTGTAATAGAGCAACTGCTGAGATCAACCAACTGCTGTTCTCAGAAGCCCTGGAAGATGCTCCCTCTGTCTCTTCTTTGGCTTCCACAGCTCCCATGGCTGAGTCCTCCTTCACAATGTCCTCTGCCTTCCCAGCAGCTCCCGCTGGAGACCAAATACCAGTTTCTTTGCTTCAACCTTCCCCACCACCCCTCTCCAACCCTCTTCACTCACCTAATCCACTGACCTGTTCAGATGAGTTTCTTGCACCCTCACTGGGATACAATCTGTCACCAGAGCCTTTTCCTTCACTGGGTCCTGAATACCCAGCAGGCCATTCTTCACCACAACACCGTGCTTTTTCCCCAGTCCCCCAATATCACAACCAGAGAGTGGACGCTGTGCTCCCAGCACACACCCCTTTGTCTCTAAATAACATCTTCTCAGGGGACCCCACCCTCTGTCAAGGTATCAAAGCCTTACCTAATTTGCCACAACCAATGAATCCTGATGATCCATATGGTTATCATCATCCACCACCAACACTGTCTGTTTCATCACCTCAAGACACTACGGTAACTCGGACTCAATCTAAAGCAATTTCCATCTCATTCAAGACTGTCTCAGAGAACACCACCTCCTGCAGCCCACCAGGGCTTTCTGTTTCAGACTGGTTAGCCTCTACCTGGGCACCACGTGGGGACTTCACTCACGAATGGCTTGCCCTTCCGTCTTTCGAGACCTCTGTGAACCTGCCATTTCTCAGTGCAGACGTCTTGGAACTCCTAGAGAGGCAAGTGCAAAAGCGGAGTGATTTCCTGATGTGGAAGGACAAGGAAAAGAATAGTTATTCCTTTCCAAAACCACAGGGACCAGGGTACCAACCGAATTCTTCAGGGGGAATGTTAGGGTCCCCTGCTGATAAGGATGACTCAGCAGTCTCCCTTCCCCAAGGGAGCCCCAAAGGCAAACCACAGGAGCTGCAGATGCATGAACTGCCCCCACATCTTAAATCTTTGGGGGACCATTTACAGCAAAAACGCATCCAGTTCTTCTGGGGTCTCCCATCCCTACACAGCGAGTCCTTGCGCTCTGCCATCTCTCTCTCGGGGGGCGCTCCCCCTGTCTCTTTTTTCAATAGAATATCAAATGCCTCCACCAATCAAGAAGCCCCAGAGCTTCCCCAGCCCCTCCCTCTGTCCTCACCCGAAATCCAGACTCCAACGTTGCCTCAAACTCCGCCACAGTCCCCGTCCATGCCACAATCCCAGCCGCCAGCCGACCTGCCTTGCCCAATCCCAGCCCAACCATCTGGCCCTTCACACCAAATTAAGATCTGTGGCGTGTTTTCCAATAGACCCGAGAATGACCCAGATTGTCTCCAACCTGCTGATACTGAATTCCTGGAATGGCATGTGTTGCAGAAGCAACTAGCAGATGTGTGGGGTTTACCCGCTGTTGTCCAAAGTTCTTACAAAGACTTTAGCGCTTCACCTCCCGATTTTCCTCAACGCCGGCACTCTCTTGTCTCTAAATCCATCTCCATCCTTCCTGGAGATTTCCCCATTAGTGATAAACTTCGGAGAAAACTAGAACATCACCTTCGAAAGAGGCTTATCCAACACTGTTGTGGCTTGCCCCAAAGGATCGTACATTCCATGTCATTACAGATGCCTCCAGAATGGCTGTCAGAGGCAAATGAATTGGGGGGCTACAGTGCACCTTCGGGAAGCACTGTGCTTCAGGGTCGGAGTTGCAAAACTCTAAATGTTGGACTGAGCCAATCGGGAAGTGTCCATGAGAGGAAGAGCTCGGTAATGTCTCAGTGTAAGAAGGATGCAGGGAGGTCTGAGGGACATAGCCCAGAAAAAGTCTCTGCGAAACTGCACAACCAAGTAGGGCAGGACGATTTGTGTTCATCGGTGTGTCAGGACTACTCCCTCAACACCTCCCAGCAGCTCTCCTTCATGAAGTCCAGCGCGCAGAATTTGCTGGAAGACCATATGAAGAGGTTTCGTCTGGGGATGCGATTGGGACCTCCCTCTAGAGTCCGTCAATCCTTAGACATCTTCAAAGAGACAGAAACCTCTTCCCTTCCCAACCATCCCTCCTCAACCAACATGACTACTCAGGAGGACTCCAAATCAGGGGGCTTCACGTCCATTAGAAGAAAATCGAATGGGGAAGAGAAGGTGGGGCTAACAGGTGTAGGTCCTGTGCGAGCTCACCCTGTCCCTGCTACCTCACACCTGGGCAGGGACAGAGAAGGGAGCGTGAGAGAACCAATCCCTGCCGTCACCCAGGAGCCAGCAGAGGGTGCGCAGAGGATGAAGGGTGGCAGACCCAGTCTTCTGCCTGTCGAACACAGTCTCCCGGGCAAGTCAAGGCAGACTCAGTGTCCCCGAGGCACGAGGTGCCCCCCCATGCCGCCTGCAAGGCAGGCTGTGGCCACACACGAGCCAGAGGCTGACAGAATGAGTTTCAGTAGTAGAGCAGAAATGCTGCAGGGCAAAGAGAGGCGCCAGAACTTAGAGATGCTTTCCAAAGCCGGTATGTCCAGGGAGATATTCAGGGCTGAGGAACTTGATGCTCCTCGATCAAAATCTAGTGACATTTTGATAACCAGCAAGCCAGGGAGCCCTCCACCAGCACCACTTTCTTCGGATAACTTGACCGTCAAGTCCTCACTGACTCATGCTCAGGGCATCTCCAGTGGGGACATGGAGGCCTCCCAGGTGCTGCAGGCCCACTTGGTGGACAGTGGGTTCAGCCCGAGGCGGCGGCTGGGGAATGGGATTTGTCAGCATGCGTTCAAGAGGTGGCAGGATAAGAATTTCCCTCCAGCTGCCAAGAGAGTGAGTCTTCGGGGGACCAACACAGATGAGCTGGGTGGAGGGGACGCCAGGCTGGGGACACCCCAACCCAGAAGGCACAGCGTTCCCACTCGGAACATGGCATTACATGAGGCACACTGGAGGCAGACTGCCCAGGTTTTCAACAAAGAGGGGCAACCTCCTGCTGAAAACATATTCAGGCAAAAAGTGAAGCACTTTTTGCAATGGATTCGTCTTAGGAAAAGAGAAGAAAATTCCCAGGAGAAGGGCAGCTCCATATCAAGCTGTCCGCTTAAAAGTGGAGCTTCCTTTTCTGGGATGTCGGGAGCTCAGAACATCAAGACAGGCACTAGAAAGTCCCAGGAGAGGCTGGGCTATCACGAGACCATTCATTCGCCAGTGATGTGTGGGAGAACGCATCAGAATGCAAAAGTGCAGACCTGCACTGAGCCTATTCAGCGACATCCTCTTAACTACAGGGGTCCCTGCTGTAAAGTGACACACGCCAAGTTCTGCCCCCAAGCTGCTGTCATTGCTGGCCAGACTCATCCTACAAATATTCGATGGGTCAGAGACATGGGCGGACATCCACAGAAAGCTGTGGCACTTGGGGAACAGCTATTGTGTGGGAAGCGTCCCCCACCCCCACATGGTATCTGTATACCATCTAAAAGCCAACTGCAGGCCTCACGTGGGCCACGCTTCTCCAACGTCTCTCACCACTGTGGAAGGGACGGTGATCAGAGAGCTGTGTCAACTACGTAAACAGAAAATTCTCCTGCAAATTTTCCAGCGAGGAAAATTTTGTACCCAAAATAATTATTGTTTATCAGATTGATTATCCCCAATAAATTCTTCTTTAATAGCAAAGTCTTATGTTTCTGGGACTTGGGTTTTGGGTAAATCGGGGCTGTGCTGAAAGCAAGGAGTTAGTTCAGTTCTTACAAATGGCCTCCTTTGGTTTCTCAATGATGACCACTCCCTTGGAACCCTGGCTGAGAAATTAGAATGTGTTTCAGCCCCAACCTCACTCTCCACCTAAGTCTGAGGACATGTGCTCTGCATAGCCCTGATGCAAGCACATAGTATCCCACACCTTCTCCTTCATTGTATGCTCTCTAGTGTTTAGGGATTATGGAAGAGCGGTCTTCCAGATGCAGAGACCTAACAACAAGTGTGTTTGCAAGCAAATCCACAGGAAAGAAGAAAGAACACCTTAATTTTGTTTACAGTCAGTGACCAGAGGTTCCCACGGGTGGTGGGTGAATGCTGAAAGTGGGAGTGTTTGGAGGTGGATGTTTCTAGTGTGGACCAAGGACCTGGATCAGGAGGGCTCATTTTGTTGAACTAGCTGGGGTAGGATCTAGAAACAGTGCAGATGCTGTTTGAGAAGGCTCATGTTCAGCACCGTTAAACCTGCCACTGAGGCTTCTCTGTGGAGAAGGGACCTTGAAGTAGTCGTTTTCTCCCCCTGGTATTTCTTCAACCTGCCAGGAGTCATGACATTTTATGCCATGTGCAAGCATCATGTAATTGTCAGTGGGCTGTTGACAAGTCAGCCCCTTTCCCTCCCAGGGTGAACTGAAAATGAAAGCTAAAAAAAAGATGCTTTAAATGAAGAGGGTAGTAAGAAAAAGAGGGCAAAACAGGATTCTGCTGGTGAAACAGGTTTATGCCTCAATATACCCCATCATCACCATGTCATGATCCGTCCTGCTTCCACTACTCAGTGTGATCCAGGCACCACCTGAGTGGGTCTGGGCCGGGTACTGTGCAGCATCCTGATGACTTTTGGTCATAGAGTTCAGGGTTCTTTCAGTATTAATGCAGTTGTATCTGTAGGGATGTCATCAGCCATGACAACCTCTTCTTTGGGAAGGGCATCTACACAAACTTGATGACAAGATCCCACTGTTAGTGTGTAGAGTTCACCTATGAGGATGGAGGTAGCACCTTCAATGCACATGTCTCTGGGGGAGTCATGGTAGATCTCGCTCACCACACTTTCAATTCATGAGCCAGCAGTGAGTCTAAGATTTTGCGCCAGAGCTACATTTTCTCTTGGGGACTAACCAAAGACCTCCAGACAATGCTCTTTGGGTCACACTGCACATACACAGACTTACCAGGGTTGGCATACACCTCTTCTGTTTGACTCAACTTACAAGTGGGTTTTGGAGGCCAGGCGTTCCACAAGGAATTATCTCATGTGTAGTAAAATGGGAACACAAGCAATGGAACTCATTTCAGTGTCTCTTTAGTGTATTCTCTTCGGTGCCACTCAACACCTCCTTCACTTCCCTCACACTTATCTCATTTGCTCAAAGATGTGCCGGAGCACCATTCACAGAGAAACCATGGGAGGGCTTTTAGTCACTTTTTCATCAACAAACTTTCCAAAACACATTCCTATTCCACTTTTCTTCTGTTACATATAATGGTTTCCACCCATCAGCAAAGGAGTTATAGTTTCTGCAATTTCCTTGTTGAGACACAGCTACACTCTAATCTTGATGGACAGAGGCCACCCTTGACAGGTTATTTTTTTTGTGCTTCCCTCTCCTTATGAGGCACTTGATCTCTTTTATTTTTTAATTTTCAGTTTCCATCACAGTAATGTTTAAACATAACACAAGATACACGGAACACAATAACTCCCCAAGTATCCTTTGCACAACTTCCAGGATTATGAACCACTAAGTGTGACACATCACATCTTTTATACTATGCTGAAGGTATGAACATCAGTTTAAATATCTTAAAACTCAACTCTTACACATAAGTTCTTTGCCAACATAGAAGCTCCCCCACTTCTTTGATATTTTGCAATGAATGTATCCACAAACAGCATTGTTGGTGAAAAAGCACTGAGCCTTAGAAGGGTTGGCACACCCTTCTGCTCTTTGAGTCAACTGAGAACTCATTTAGGTGATTTCTTCCCTCAACACCATGTGGAACGTAATCTTACAGAGAAAACACACGCAGATCAAGAACTTGTTACTCTCCTTTCCAAAATGCCATCAGAGTAAAAGATTAAATAAAAAGGTACAAAAAAATCATCATTCAGCAGAGAAATTAAAATCAAAACCACTATGAGATAGCGTGTCATACAAGGATGGCTAGACTAAAAAAATCAGGTAATAACATATACTGGCGAGAAGGTAGAGAAATTGGAACCCTCATACTGCTGGCGGGAAGGGAAAATGGTGTAGTTGTTCTGGAAAGCAGTTTGGAAGTTCCTCAAAATGTCAAACATAGACTTAGGCTATAACCCAGAAATTCTACTTGTAGGTATATACTCAAGGAGTAGGAAAATATCTTTCCACACAGAAACTTGTAAATGAACTCTCCTAGCACTACTACTCACAATAGTAAAAAGTGGGAAACAATACAAACATTCATCTATTGAAGAATGGATAAATGAAATATACTGATTCCATAGAATCAATGTAACATGCTTGGCAATAAAAACTGCTAATATTGCTGTGATATGAATGAATATTCAAAACATGGTAAGTAGAGAATCCAGTGACAAATGACCACACACATCATTCTACTGGTGACATATCCAGAATATGGAAACCCAGAAAGACAGAGTAGATTAGCGGTTGCATGCAGTGGGGAGATGAGAAAAAAGAAGGGTGACAACTCGTTTACGGGGTTTCTTTCCGTTTTCACGAAAATGATTTAAAATTGACCATGGTGATGGTTATATGTGTCTGTGAATATACTAAAAGTTATGGAATTATATACTTTATGGATGAAACATATGGGATGTGCACTCTATTTCAATAAAACCATTAACAATCATTTAAAAAGTTTAAGCCCTTGCTGACAAGTAGAGAGAAGCTACAACAATGATGTCATTACATTTTGGAAGATGGAAACCCATGAGGAGTGGTAATTAACCAGCAGTGATGGCAAACCAATTCAAACCACATAACCCCAGGAAATGAATGACTTCTTTTTTGGAGACACCAGATAATTAGGATTTACATGCTGAAAACATGTTGAATTTTTTCTTTTTTACAGTGTGTATCATTAAATATTTTTAATGGGAGGGGTACTATTTTTTTCCAGTACTTTCTGAAACCCTGTTGCAATGTCAGCATGCCTTATATGTACAAAAGTTCCCAAGTTTCTCGCCTGAGACAGAACCTGAGACAACAGCTTTAGAGGTGGCACTGTACACCTCAGGGATCTGGGTAGGGAGGTGATGCGAGCTGTTGGTATTAATTGCAGAAATCTCAAAGGATAGGTAACATTCAGAACAATAATGTAAGAACATATTTGACAAATGTGTTGAAAAGGGACATGGTTGGTAAACAATTACTCTTTATTCAGACTGACCAATTAATATCTAATCCATTTTTTATAATCTCCCATTTCTGATGGTCTCACTCATAGCAGGAATTTAGAAAACCTAAATAAGGGACTTGGAAAAAGACTAATCAATACAAAGTAACATTCAAAATCAACAAGCAACTATGGACTAGAGAAACACTGTGGGGGTGGGTGGAGGGGAGGGTTGAAGAAGGATTAGGGTCAAAATAAGGGGGGGTGCAATTGTATGGGGAATAAAACCAAAATGAAAATGCATACATTGTGCAAAAATGAAAAATGATGTAAGAATTATATAAAATATTAATAAAAGAAAAACCAACTCCCATTTCAGTTTATTCTCCTTCCCTACCATCCTTTTTTCCCTTTATCTTCTCCCAAATGCTTGAGGAATACATTTCATGAATTTTGTACATTATTCTTGAGTATCTGTGTATTCTGTAATAAAAGTATCCATTCGGTACTCTCAGTAAAAAACCTTAATCTCTCTTTCATATTCCATGTTTGCCAATTTATTGAGGAATGAATGTCCTCTGTAATTTTTATTTCTTGTAAGTTTTCAAAGTGTTCCAAATGTTTCATTGTGGCCCTTTTCCTCAACCTCCATCATGCATCAGTCCATAATCACATCTACATTCATTGTCATGGGTCTTTGGTTTCCTTTTGCCAGGATCACAGTGTCTCTCCTTTCTTGTTAATGACCAGATGATTTTTTTTTAAAAAAGATACAATTTTATTTTTTTTTAAGATTTATTTATTTTTATCCAAGAGCTGGGGGACAGGCCGGAGGCACGGTAGGGTGAGAGGACTCACCGGAGACAGAGCGGAGGCTGGAACAGGCAGACTGCCCAAAATACACTGCTGAGGGGAGCAGATGGCATGACAGGAGAGGTTGGCCACATGCAGGGGCAGGAATGGACACAGTGCAGGTTTTCTGATCCGGCAGACTGGGTAAAGGAGGAGTCCTGGAACTCTCAGCGGCTTTTGCAGGTCTTTTATTTAGATGTATCAGACATACGGCAGGAAGGGGTCCTGGGGTTCCCTGAGGCTGGCAGTCCTTCCAGCCCCCTGCAAATCCTCACTCTCTCTGGGCTCTCTGGCCTTCTCTCTGCTTCTCTTCTTCTCTCGGCTTCTGCTTGTGACCCCGTGACACTGCCCTGAAAAGCCCGGTCTTAGCCCCAGAGAATCCCATCTACCGATGCCCACACCCTACTCCAGGTGCCCGCCATCAGGCATGCATTCAGGACCTCAGGGATCCATCATCTATCCTGATGGTGGGAGGGCAAAAAGCCTAACACATTTACCTTACCCTACACCACGCCTTGTGGGAATCTCCCTGGCTGGCCAGGATTCGAACCCGAGCTGCAGACACTGCGGACAGCTTCACAGCGCTGTGCTCAACGTTCTGTGCTCAACCCACTGCCCCACCAGGGAGGCCCATGACCACATTGTAGGGGCAGGAATGGACACAGGGCAGGTTTTCTAGGATCCCATGCAGAATGGGTAAAGGAGGAGTTCTGGAGCCCTCAGGGGTTTTGCAGGTCTTTTATTGGGCTTCA